ACTTTACACGAATCTGACTCCCAGGTCCTCTCGAAGAGAGGACTTACGTTTGAAGATGAAGGTAAAAATGCTGTAATGTGAATATGAAAATACAACACAGTATAACTTTATGCGCAGAAAGGTGTATATACGTAGATGCAAAGAAAATGTCATGGCTCGGAGGATTCGGCAACTCAGCTTCGCTTGTCTTGTCAGCCCCAACATAGACTTTTTGCACCTGATGGAGCCGGTAACGTTAAAAACCATGTAAACCAGCCACAGCATCCGAGGCCCCGGCTGTTTGGGTCTGTCACCTAAAATGTCGTTCATTCATGGGTGACGGCGAAAGGGGGTCCAGTGTTGAGTACAGAGTCTCGAGCTGAAAGGATTTGCAGCTTTTTCCACATCGTGAATGTGTATGACGAGAACATGAGATCGCCACAAACGTCTTGGTTTTCACGGTGGATGCTGCTTTGCTGTTCGACTCCGTCTTGCCTTTCTAGCCTGCGCCTCGCTAGGCCTGAATGTCGGCTGCATCTGGCTGGGTTCAGGCTTGGCGGGCTTATGGCAGGCTAGACTTCAGAAGTAGTTATGCTCGCAAATTATCTTCAAGGGACTGCAGGTGCTTCTTGCTCGTCTCCTTCCTCTGGAGCACCAAAGCCCTTCTCAAGTCCCAGCATCTGGTGGCCGAATTCCGGTTTTAAGAACCGGACAGCTCAAGCCAATGAAGCAGTGACCACAGTTTCGGCCCAATGTACCCACCCATACACTGAAAGCCGGTCCTGACCCCTGAAGCCCTAAACCTCGTTTCCGGCCTCTTCGTCCTCGAACTTTTTGGCTTGCGCGGCTTGCGCAGCCTGCACCTTGCCTCAGGCAGATGTCATTTCAGGTCTGAAAGCCACCAGAGAGGGGAATGGCATCCTTAACGAATTCGTATAGTAGAAACCTAAAGGTAAAGGTTTGAGGGTTTTGGGTTTTCGGGCTGTGCGGAATACTCCTGGACTTGCGGGATGTTGTCCTCTGGGGGCCGATCAAGTTTCGGCTTTGCGTGGTTGGAGCTCGCAGAATCGGGTTGGGGTCGACTGGACACACAGTAGACAGAGGTTTAGACCCAAAAGTTGGAGTCTGATCACATAGAGGGGCATCTGGAGCTAATTACGGTGTACGTGGTCCAACCTCGCAGCGCCAACTTAAACCCTAAACCCCTAAACTCCTGAACCCTGAAACCCTGAACTCCCAGAAGCTCTAAGCCCTCAACCCCCAAGCCTAAACCCTAAACAATACACCCCCAAAAAGCCCTAAACCGCAAAACCCTAAAAACCCTTATATAAACCCCCTCCAAAACCCTCCAGCTGAGCTTGGAATCTCATCGGGTGCAAAAGCTCTGGGCCCCGAGCTGGCCGCCACCTCTTCGTAAGGGGGCTCCTGCTCCTCACGCGTTTTAGAGCTTAAGGCTTTGGGTTTTAGGGCCTACGGCTTGGTCTTGACATGTGGCTGCTTTGGGCTTTAGGACCTAGGGCTTACTTCGAGTTGCTGTCGTTGCTCCTCTTTACCCTCGCCTCTAGGGCAGGGCTTCTGGGTTTGGGCTCCGGGCCTCTGGTGTTCTCTTAAAGGTCAACCAAGGCGGGGGGTTGTAGGCTTCAGGTTCAGAGGGTTCAGGGCTGTGGGCTAAGTGGCCTGGCGGGCCGGACGAGTGTCACTATTCGAAGAGATGGTTCAAACTGCAAACAAGCTGCTGCCTTGCGTGCCCATTCCGAAGAGATTCCCATCGCACCACCCAGGCCAGAAAGACATTCGCACCCGACAAACAAGTCACTTCAACTGAGCAGTTACCAGTTACCAATCCCTGCATCAATGCTGTCTGGTCAGAAAGCACTGGATTGGTCAGAAAGCACTGGGTTCACTCTGCGTAAACAACTGATAACCCCAACAACTGCAAACACATACTCACGACTAGGAACGGAAGCTGCAATAAGAAAGGGACCCTCCGCAACCTGCGAAGCCTTAGCCCCCAAACTCTCATCCAAAACAGTGTCCTCTTCCGACTCCTCTTGCTCGGAGCGGATGAGTGGAGCATGCTGCAGTCCTACCGCATGCATCCACGAGGTCGACAGCAAGAATGGCAGTCAAAACTGTGCAACCACTAGAACTACCACAACACCAACAGCGACCACCACCACCGAAACAGGAAGCACCTACCTCTTCAGCGATAGCTGGTGTCAGTAGCCAAATCCCGCTCTCGCGCGACACGCCCGCTATCCCCCCTCCCGCCTGTGCTGGCAGGCTCCGGTTCCGGCAGCGGCTGAGTGACATAGGGTGCCAAGGGCTCCTGAAATGCCAGGCCAACCATTGTAAGACTGAATGAAAGCATAATGCCACTGCGCACCACACCTGCAACTGTGGAGCCTTGATTTTGCTCTGGTGGTTCGGGCTGATGCTCGCATCTTCGGGTGCTTCAAGCACGTATTGACCAATAGCTATCTAAGATTCCATGGTAACAGTCCCCTTTGGTTTCAGGGGCCCCTGGGTCTCCCAGAACCGACGAGAACCAAACGAACGCCGGACCTCGCAGGAAGTCGACTGAACTCCCAGCCCTAGGCCCTGGACCCTGAACCCCTGAACCCGAATCTCACACCCCAAACTGCCACGACCCACGGAGCAACTCGCCTCTACCTGCTTCGCCGCAGCGTAACCTCCGGAAGCCGGGGGCTCCTCCTGGTGCAGGCTTTAGGGTTTAGAGCATAGGGGTTGAAGATTAAGCAATGCTCCCGACGAAGGCCCTACTTCAAAAAACATTACAGACGGCGAAAATCCCGTAACACCCTACGAAAACCTTTCAGAAAAAACCTATGCTATGATTATTACCCTTAAACCCTCCTACAAATACCCTACAAAGCACCCCTAAAGGACCCGACACGACGCTGGGGCTGGCGACGGCAAATTCCCGAAGCTCCTCGGGAAGATCGTCGGCCTCGCCGTGCCGGTGGCGCAGCTCCTTAACCATGGCCCGCCTGGCGATGGGACGGCTTTGGGGAGCAGGGCCTATGGCTTTACGTGTATGCTATGCATGTACAATGCATCCAAAAATAGACACAGATATGTGTGTGTATAGATATATACATGTGTATGTATATATATATATATACACACATGTATGTGTGTGTGTATGCATGCATGCATGGATGTGTGTATGTGTGTGTGTGTACCGTATGTATGTAGGCGGGCAGGTAATGCAATGCTGAAGTTCTAAAGCCCCACCCACAAAGCTCGCAGCCTCAGCAAGCTCTCTGAGTGGCCGCTGCCTTGCGAGGGCTTCCAAGGACCTGGGCCCAGAACAGCCGGGATTCTACTTGGTGTTTGGGGTTCAGGGTAATGGGTATGGGATATGGCGCTCAGTGTTTGTTGTGTGCTTTTCTTTTGAGGGCCTTTTTCCACAGCATGCGCCGGAGGGCAGGCTTGGTTCAGGCACCTCGAATGCCAGAGAAAGAAAACAACCCTCTAGGGTTGAAGGCTTAGGGCTTAGGGTTTGGGGAAAATGATCTCTACAAAGTTCGATCGATTGCAAGTGAGATTGCAGCTTCCGTCATCGAGTTTGGGAGTAGCTTTCGACATGACCAGGCCAACTTTCTATTTCTGGCTCGCGCCGGAATTTTCGCAGAGCTGTGTGCAGTGTTCCTTTCACGCAATTCCGAGCAGTCGAACCGCAGCAGCAGCAGCAGCAGTAGCAAACATGACAGCAGTGGTACTGCAAAGGAGGGGTCGCTGGCGGTACTGGTGTAGCAGCGTACAATTGTGAGAAAGAGCAAGGACAGTATAGGACGCAGCGCCGTGCTCGAAATTTTAGCATCAATCGACCACGTCAATTGAAACGTTCGTATTACAATGATACACTGAACACAGTCAAAGCCTTTCGATTTCTACTGGACATGCAGCACAGAGGCACCACGGACATGCTGAACGTCACGTTAGGCCGCCGGCGAAAGGCCCCAAGCTCCTTCAGCACCGCCTGCTCTTCGCCAGGAAATCACTGGGGGCATCTGTGGAAATTGCTGATTATGGACTGCAAATATATGTGTGTGTGTGTGTATATATATATATAAACACTGGGGTATGCATGTGTGTATATACATACACATGTATATATACATACGGTACAGTCTTATATGGCTGGCCTCGAATAATATACCCCTTCTGGGACAAACACCCGGGCCGCCCTCAGATATCCCTGCCGGGTCCGCAAATTCCTCCTAGTGCTCCCTGAATCAAGAGCCACGTAACCTATAAAGTTACACACACACACACAGATAAATAGATAGGTAGATTGATAGGTAGATAGATACATAGTTAGGTATCATACATAAATGAATAAACAAGACAAGTAAGTGTGCATATATATATATATACATGTGTGCACACATGTATGATCATGTATGTATGTATGCATGTATGTATATCTGCTGAGAGGCACACACACACACACACACACCCCACAACCCTATGGCCTCGATCGTGGAGCATTTGCTCAGCAAGTGCTTCCATCGGGGATCAGTGTGATAGACCTTCCACAACGTCGCGAGTGTGCGGTCTACGGGGTGTGGTTGGGCTTCTGAAGTCAGTGTGGCTGTGGTGGAGGTGGCACGCCGCAAGGATCATGAGCGACCATAGTGTTGATGATGGTGACAATGATGGCAACAGCGAACATGGTAGGGAGGGAAAGTGAGCAGTGCCCGTGCACAATCATGATGGCAGCACTTTAGCAATTGCAACGGACCAGAAACATCAATTTAGCAGCTTTGCATGTGCGCACACAGACTTCATCTATCCGCAGGCTCTCTTGCAACAAGAAGGGATCGCCAATTCTACCATCAATGAGAGGCGGTGATGTAGTGCTCGAGATGGAAGACCGGAAAGCTTATCCTGAATGTGCGAGACCATAAGATATGCTTGTGCCTTGGACCTCTCCAACCGCTGAGCTCTCTATCGCCAATCAAATTGCCCCGAAAACGAAATGCTAAGACTAGCTAGCCCTCAGAGCCCAAATCCTGCGCCTCGAGCTGAACCGTGTCCACGACCAGCCGCAGCCGGCCGATTCGCTCGCAGCCGCGATCGGCGAAGACGCGGCTCAGGGCCTCAGAACAGAATGCGGAGACTATCGGGGAGCACGCATGTACATCCGCATGAGTGAAGAAGGGAGGAAGGAAGGCATACATACAAAACACACGGGTTTGTAGAACAGTGTACGTACACATGCATGTGAAGACACACCTGTGTGTATGTCTGTGTCGAAGTCTGATGTGGCTCAAGATATATAGTGTAGTCAGGGACGCAGAGTGTGGCCGGATACAGAGTCCTTGTTCCAAAGTGGCTTCATGTTTAGAACAGGTTACGGGCCATAACAGGAAGAACGCAAGAAACAAAGTAGCATCTAGAGAAGAAGGCTCTGTTGCACCCGGGCATCCAGAACTTAACTTCCGACCCAGACTTGAACGCCTCAACCAGGGATCCTGGAAATGCTTCTTCCGACTGCTTGCCTGCTTGTCCCCGCTGACGGCTTGATCGAGCCCGTCGCGGACGCTCTCAACCTTCCATCTTGAGGGTTTCGGGCGCGGGGGCTGGGGCTTTGGAGTTTTTCCCGGTAGAGCTTTCAATCTCTGTAGGGGAAAGCTTCTTGCTCACTCAAGCCTTTGGGGCATTAGTTGTGCGTGCGGTGCTGAAAATCTTGATGAGTGCTTCGCTTCGCACTGTGAAAGAAGGTGCTCAAACCTTACAACTCCTTACAAGAAACATAATAAGTACCCATGAGGCTTTAGCAGGGGCACCGTACCCGCCAACCGCTAAACCCTTCACAAAGTACCCGAACCCCCTGGAAGGCAGCAGAGCCCCTAAATCCCATCAGCTTGAGCACCCTCAGCCTCAAGTGAGTGGAATCCCAACATGTTCTAAGGTCATCGGCATAGAGACCTCTGTGCAGGCTAGGCCAAAGGCCGAGACACACCTTCAACACAAACGCGGACTCCCACACACCTCAATTGCCCTGATTTAGAGCCATGCCTTCACGACGTTCAGCAGGCGAAGAACAACACACGAACACAGAACAAATGCGCCACCGAAATCGACATTAAGCAGAAGTAGTCATGATTAGTAGGCCAGCACCAAGAAAGCAACAGGCTGCCGGCTGCCGCTACTCACTGGGTGCGCTGAGGGCAACAGACAAAAACAGCAGCATCAACAACACCAACAGCAACAATAACAGCACGAAGTCTAGTGCAATCATTGCTGCAAGCCGTTGTTCTCACCTGCATCGTCCAAAGCTCTCGAACTCCCGGCAATGTAATCCCGCGACACACCCAGAATCCTAAACCCTGAAATGCCAACGTAAGGCAGAACCCTAAGAGGGTAAATCCTCAGATCCCAAGGTCAATCTACGCCCCTCCCCCCTGTGCAAAACCAGCCGGCTGCCTTTTTCATGAGGTCGGCTTCCTTCGCCTTCTTCTGCACCGAGCCCGCCGAGGCTTCGTCCACCTGGGCCACAGCGGTACGTCTACGGCCCTGCGAGCGAATAGCTACCATAGGCTTTTGAGATACGTTCTAGTGTACTTAATTCTATGACTTTTAACATGAATGGACTGTGAGGAAATATAGTATAGGCCCGAGTGCAAGGCTTGCGAGGCGTTCTAGGATCTCCGTATGGTCGCCTGCTTGGGGTCTAGGATATAGGTTAACGTTAGGAATCCTGACAGCTGCTGTACCAATACCCATACTATTTTGTGGGCTCCTTCTTATAATTATAGATAATTGCAGTATAGCCACGGGCCCCAAAACCCTCTATTCTAGTGATTAAGGTCCATGATTCCGTTACCATGGACACCAACACCCACGCCCTCTTCGACTACGTTCGAGGTTTCTTGCCGCGAGGGTCTACATCCGCCTCATTAGAGTCGACCTCAACTTCAGAGCCTCCTCAGCCGCAGCGGAACACTAACTCAAGGAGTCCAGAACCTCTCCTTGTGGAGGGTCTACTTTGGGACTAGAGAGGGTTCCGACCCTTTTCTAACGAGCTTTGGGTTTTCATGACCGGTTTGAAAAGCAAAGTCCCTCGTTCCTACTGCCTCGAAACCCTGACGAACCCCCAACCTGAACCTGTAAGGAACTCCTTGTGAAGCATTATGACGAGATCATCACAGCTCTTTATGAAACCACAGTAAGCATCTAAAAACAAACCCACAAGAATCCTGCTCTGATCACCTGCGTGGACCCTGTCCGAGCTGGATGCCCTGTCTGCCGCATCCTCGATGCTCCGCATGGCAAGGTCGAAGTCAGCCTGCAGGCTTTGAGGGCGAATTGGGGTTTTCAGGTTTTCAAGACAGTGGGGCGTTAGCTTGTTTGGGGTTTGGGGGATAGGAACAGGGCTTTTGGTTGAAGGCTTCCCGCCGAAAAGTGCTCCAGAACTCTTCTGCTCATGAAAGCAGTCATACTCATGGCTGCATCGCATCTATGTGGCTATGAACTCGCTCATGAACATGAGGTTCACTGCCATAATCACGGTGTTGGTAGCCGTAAACGGTCATAAGGCTGTGCCTCAGCCGTCTGTAACCAGTGCACGGACTCCAAGGGTAAACATACAGATACTGTATGCCACAAGCAGCCGTCCGCATGCACATTGTCGAGTGATGCGGTTGTCAAGTCGCAGAAGGTAACTGCGATTGGAGGTTGCAAGGCTACTTAAAGACTTAAAACACAGGGGAAAGTTGGAGAAAAGGAGAAACCTGAATGAAGAGGCCACACACACACACACCCGCGCGCGCATACAGCAGACCGACTGACGGACGGGTAAGCTCCGCATAGACAGAAGACAGACAAACTAGAACTGGAAGAACAAAAACATGTAGCCCCTCAACCGTACAAGCGATTTGCTCCACTCCAGCACACGCCTCCGAGAGTGCTGCAACCGGCCGGTGCTTCTTTAAGTACCTGCTGGGCGGTGCATAATCCTCGTGGTAGCGTGCAGTCGTGCTGTTGCTGCTACACTGAGCACGCTTATGATCATTCAGCAACAGGCTGGTTACATGCAAACAGGCAGCATCCAGCTAGTCACCGAAAACTCCCACGCACAATCGGAACGTTTATGCTGGCAGAACTTGTTCTGGGTGTTGCTGTGCAATACTCCTTCAAAGCATGGTTGTACGGCCAGAATGGGGGACCTCCATCATTAGAACAGGGGTTTGCCAGGTCTGGGGCCCAGCTGACATGGTGTCAGGTATATGCTGACTGCAGTGGGATATCAGTATTGATACTAACTACTAACTACTAATATTTCTACCCCTATTATAGTAGTTGATGCAAGCGGTGCGCACTCGAGAAGCTAGGAGAACAAGGGACAATGATACTTATCTGCCAAAGGATTCACATGACTCTTGACTTCAAACTCAAACGAACTCCTCTGGTTCTTTAGCTGCCGTTGTGTCGGTGGCTGCCTCTTGCGGTTTACGGACCCTACCCCCCAACCCTAAAACCCTCAACACATACTCCCAAACCCGGAAGGGCACACACCGCATGTCTGTTCAAAGTACCGCCACAGGGCATCAAAGTCAGCGTCGCTGAAGCCATCCATGGCCACCACCTGAGTTTAGGGTTCTAGGCAGTTTTGGGGTTTGGGGTTCAGGGGCCTACAGCAACAACCTGGAAAGAAACACAAGACTGTATAGTAACGATTCCTGGTACGTGAAGACGATGCCAAGGCAACCAGGAGAGGTGTCACAGGAATCAATACTGCTGCAACACTCGGAAGCATACGAAAGCCGTAAATCAACCCTGGCACCCTAAGCCTCAATTCCTAAGAGCTAAAGCCTTGAACTCGACTCGATGCACCCTAGCAGCATCTAATATGGGGGCCTTCATGATTAGAATAGGGTTTTGGGGTCCATTATACTATAAGTATAGTGAGGAACCCTCAAAAGAGTATTGGTTTTTATTTAGGCCCCTATATTCGGGTCCTTAGTACACAACCCGCCAGAGAAGCAGCAACCCATAAACCCCAACATCTCAAACCCCAAACCCAAAACCCCAAGCCCAAAGGCTCAAACCCAAAACCAACCACAAAACCACCAAATTGCAGGAAACCCTAAAGCAGTATACACTGTCAACTCCAAACCTCCGACTTTTCGGATGCCACCGAGAATTTGAAACCCTAAAAGAAGGATCTGAAACCTTATAAATCCAAAACTGCCGAACTGTCTGGAAGACTAAATTCGCCCAAAAACCAAACAGAACACTTAAACTCTAAAACCCCCCACCTCGGTAGAGCCATCCTCCCCCTCGCAAAGGAGTCGTAGACTGCCCTCGAACCACTCGGCCCTGCCCCATTTCAGGCTACAGTAGGGCTTGCATAGGGTTTTCTAAGGGTTTATACGGGTGTATACTGGTTTGGGCAATGATTCAAGAGCTTTCTTCAGGATCCCACGAAGGTTTGTTCGTTCAAAAATATCGGGCCCTCGCGGTTCAGACGGCTTCGGGCTTTGCGGTTCAGCGCTTGGCTGTCTGTCCCTTCCTCTGTGTCTCGTTCGTTCGTGTCGCTTGCCCTGCTTCTCTGCTTCGCTTGCCCCTGTCTCTCACTCTTTCGGGACTTGTGGATCCCTGTACCGTGAGCTTCAGAAGCAAACGCTTCAACACCAGTCTGCTCCGGCCACCGGTGATGAGACTCGCAATTCATGGATGTCCCGGGTATGCTTCAACCGAATCGTGGGCGCTGCAATGATCCCTACGGCATGGACTCGAACCTTAAACATGCAGCTGCTAATATGCAAGAGCTCCCCATTTTACGGTTATCTCTAGACGGCCTTTGTCAGCACAACTTGCAAAAGCCGCAACCCTCCCCCACCCCAGCCTACGGACGGAAGTGGCAGCGTGCACCTTCGTGTCACCTCGCAGGGATGACACGAAGTCGGGGAGCTCGGAGGGTGATTTCGATCCAGGGGAGGTGTGGTTTGGTGCGTTCGACATGGACATCGTTGGTCTGAATGTACGGTTTGAGAGTGACAACAAAACAAACTCAGATGCTGGGCCTTTCGGTCAAAGGTCGAGCGCTCACGGCACGGCTCGTGCATGTCCTAGTATTCCTGTGGAGGTACTGTTGATGATATAAATCCTGCATTACCTTAAGGACCCTAAACTATGGGAATTATGGCAATGCAGGATTTATATCATCAACCGTAGTGATAGTGCTGAGCCGGAGAAGAATAAGGAAACTCCTGTTGCGCAAGCTCCTCTATAGCCATCAGCATCTCGCAGCATCAAATCCCCCAATCTTCAACCCGAAGCTGCAATCCTCACAGAGGGGCGCCTGAGTCACCCCGCCAGCCGATTTGGTCACTGTTGGCACGGAACTGGCCACTTTGGCCGCCCGATTTCACCTGAAGCTCTCAGGGCTTTTCATGGGTAGTTGTCAAAATTAAGGTGCATTTTTTGGTGTACCCTAAATAATGGGTGCCGTACTATAATCGGGATCCAAGAAAAGGACAGTTCCTTCGTACATCCTGCTATTGTTGAGTCGGAGGAATAGGGGTAGTAGAAGAAGGAGCAATAAGAGGGGAGGAGCAGCAACATCAGCAGCATCATCAGCAGCAGTCAGTCGTGGTGGTGCTGGTAGCTGCGACGACGCCGCTTCTGCTGTTGCCAGTGGAAGTAGGAGCAAATGACTACAATGCCGGTGACAGTGACTGCGAGCGACACTGCAGGACACCCTGCTTCTCCTACATGTCCTCGGCTATACAGATACAGAATGCTGACTCAATTGTTGCTACTAAGCAACTAGCTGCAATCAATACGACCCCTACGGTGCACTCAGGGTCGCATTTTTCTCTGCCGCACGGCGAGTGGAAAGCAAGTCGTCGTTCGTTAACATGCGCAGGCCGAAGGCGGCAGCGTGCGATCATTAGTTATAAGTTGGGTTATACTTCCCCTAATATGGGTTATAAGTATAGTTACCATACTTATAACCTTACTTATAACTAACACCCCAAGGATTCTACAGGAACCAGGGCTTCGGGGGCTCAGGGTCTCTGTGATCTGCGAAAAGTCTTCAAGTGCCCAACGCTTCAGGGTTCCTTCAGTGGCTTCAGGGTTGCTTCAGGGTTTAAGGGTTCAGGGTTCCTTTAAGGGTTTGGGCTTCAGGGTTCCTTTAAGGGTTTGGGCTTCAGGGTTCCTTTGGCTTCAGGTTTCCACGACGTAGGGGGGCCCTCACGCCAGTTAGAGGATTTAGGGTTGAACGTTGAGAGTTACCGACCCTCAAGCAGGCTTGGATTGGCGAACCCTCCATAGGCCATAGGGCGACAAGATTTAGAGATTGGGGTAGCTGCGGTAGCAGGGTTTTAGGATCGCACCACCGGTCGACCTGCAGGGAGCACTTTGGCAGCCCATTCAAGGCAGTATCAGAGCTACCGCCGCTAGAACCTGTTCGTCCTTCGCAGTTTCTGCTTCAATGCTTATCGCTGGCATGCGGTCGACACCAGACCCCTTAGGGCTCGGCGCGAGACCTTGTTGTTGGTAGCCCAAGATCGCTATGTCCGTTTCTGAGGGCTCTGGGCTCAGGTTTAGGGGCTTTGGCTTAGGATGTGTAGATGGATAGAAGCTGAGCCGAAAGCTGCGAATGAGGGAGCTCGGGAAGGTTTGGAGCACCTAGAGCCCACCGTGGAAGATGCGATGAAGGATCAGCGCCATCTGTTCCGGATACTCGTTGTGGGTCGTGATGTACGAGTCCTGCTCATCTCAGGCAATCGAACCACGGCTTGCGCTCCAGAGTTAGGCAGCCAGGACTCTGGCAGCACAAGAAGGTTCGGTTTCAGGGTTTAGGGTTCACGGTGAAGTCGTACTGTACGCTTTAAGTGTGGTTGACTTCAATTGCGCACGACGGCCTGGCCTGTCACTTGAAACCTGTGCCTGATCAATTTGATCGTGCTTCGCAGCTGCTGCAATGCAGAAGATCAAATATTGTTACTATTGAAAATATATCTAAGGTGGGGACCAGAAGGGGATACTGTTAGTACCTGTCCAGACCCCTACATTGCCCTACATTAAGCTTGCACGGCTCGGATGGAACATCGACCCTGATGCTCAGGTGTCCATGTGAGAACCAAGGCTTTCCCTGACAATGCCTCAGGGTTAGTATTGAAAATCTACATTTCTATTCCTTGTTGGGTTTAAGTACCCATAAAAATGTGAACTCTTACCCAACTATGACAAAGTTTCGACAAAGCCGCATGTAGCTACCCCGAAACGCCGAAGACTCTGGAGAAGCACCAGCGGAAGTCAGCCCAAACGCTTTCAGCATGAGCCCATGGTCCATAGGGATGTTCTCCACATCCGGGGCATGCAGCGGACTGCAGCCTGCAAGCTTGGTACCTGGCTCTGGTCGTCAGATGGCTCAAGCCACAGCTGGGATGCTGTTCAGGGCTGTTTCATAAGTTCAGTTGTGGGGTCAAGGCCCAGATTCGTTGCATTTTTGACGCTCAAACTTTTGGCTTCAACACAGCTCCGCAAGAACCCGCAACCCGCCTCCTCTGCGAAACTGGTGCGACAGGAGGAAGCCATCTTGTGCAAAGAAACCTGGAGATCCAGAAACTGGCTTTGGCTCTTCGGCGGGAGGGAGAGTTAGGGATATGGGTGGTTGCTTTTTTGGGTCCCTATTATTATACGGCACCTATTATTTAGGGAACCCAACAAGGAACCATAATTCTGACAACCACCCATATGCGACTGCGAGCAGAACATGGGCCATCCCGATGCCTCTATGGAGGTAGTGAAACGGTGTCGGCGCAGACCCTTGGGGCATGAGAAAAAATGACATCCCGACGGATAGAAACCAACTAAAGCCCCGAACATGCTACTCGATTTTGTTGAAAACAGATCGTGTCTTGGCTCCACAATATTGCTGCTGCTTCTTTGCCTGTGCAAATGCCTGAATGCTCGGAACACCTAATCCAGTAGAGCTCGTCAGTTTGGGGTTTACATTCTGTTGTTCGAGATTTAAGAATTCGGCGGGACTGGGGGGCGGTGCAAACCATAGACCATAAAACACGCAAGCCCGGCGGACTCATCATCACGGTTGCCAAGGCACCGTTCACGAAGCGCCCCGTGACCAGCTCTCGCAACTGTGACCATCCCTTGCGAGGAGGTAGAGGTTACTTCGCGGCTAGTGTCTGTGGTTATTTCCTGCCAAGTTCTTGCGTTCCTGCGACAAGGCTTGAGCTACAGGGGTGTTCGGACTCAACTGTAACGGGACATGAAAACCGATGCTATGTCTGTTCGCAAAATGGCCTTGAAGCTAGCTTAAGCCTCTGAACCCCAAACTCAGATGTGCCCGACACCAAAAGCCGACTGCCAAGGAGCATCGTCAAGGGCAGCCGCAGGTGTCCCTAGCAGGACGGCGTCGCAAACCACGTCGGCGGCTTCGGCCCTTCCGTCCTGCAAGCAGAACAATACGCGGCCCGCAATAATTTGAACTGGAATATAAAATATTGGGGTCATAGTAAATCAAATTTATTTTTAATATTAATTAAGGATCGCTTTGGAACCCTGTTGACAATGACTCAGCCCGGTATATCGGCACTAACAGCCAATGCAGCACCAAGCTGCCAGACAGGAGAGAAACGTCACCCGGCTGTGCATGGCGGATTTAGGATTCAGATTTGCTGCCGCCAAAGGCTAGAATTCAAGCAGGAATCGGAGTATCATACCCGCTCTTCTGTCTTGTCTGAGGTTCTGGGGCCCATGAAAACCCGGAAGCCGTGACACCAACATTTGCAGCCTGTCCTAAGTCTCGACCAACTCGGAAATTCTTGTGGGTCCGTGGCTTGACGGGTTTGGCGCTTAGGTTCTGTGCGGAGAGTTTAGGTTTTAAGGTTCAGTTCTAACTAGAGGCTGCAGCGCCTGTAGAAGCCCAAAAAACCGAAACTTCTCCCAAAGACCTTGCGACTTGCTTCCTGGACATATCAACGGGAAACATTCAGAAGGCCGTTGCGAGAAAGCTGAAACATGGCCTTTTCACTCCAAACCCTCTAAAACCCCGCTGAACATAGCTCTAAACAAGCCCCATAATACCTTCAACGTCCTAAATCCTAATCTAGAGCTTTGAACTTTCTGAACCCTAACATACCCTAACCCTATACTGAACTTAGACCCCTAGCAATAATCATACTGTCAGCCGTTTCTTCGGGATTAAAGGAACCAAAAAACAAAAAATACTCTTTCTAAGTACCCCTCCTCCTACACTCCTAAACCCTAAAAGCAATATTAATGATCACAGTAACAGTAAAACGAGCAACCCAGTAGCCCCTACAATAACTATGATAGCAATCAACAAGTGACGCGCATGCCAATAGGAATCCTCTCCTTACGGAGCTCTTGCAGACCCTGCAGGCAGCTCTGCACCACCACTCCGCCGGCAGAAAAGCCGAGCCTGGGTCGGGGCGTTTGGGGCTCAGAGCTTCGGAGGGCTCACAAGGTTTTCGATGTTCTGGGCTTCGTAGGGCTTCAGGGTTTGAGCTGGAAAGTGTAGGATTTGAGGGTTTCGGGCTTTGTATTTCTAGGTTCTAGAGCTTGGGGTGCTGATTAGGGTTTGACACTTGTGAAGGACGCTGGGGCCGTCGGATTTCTGGTGTTTTTGATGTAGGCTCCAGAAGTTCTAAGTGGGAATGTGCAACAAATCGCAGAACACGTGGTAGGTGTGCTGAAGCACAGCGCCTACACCGCCACTTGTAGCATGGTCATTGCCAGTCGTAGTAAGGGTTAGAGGTGGCAGTATTGGTCAAACGTAGCATGCCGACTCAGAGTCATGATTGGCAGCTGACTGAGTGACGGTGCTTCGAAAAATGTTGCTTCGGCACAAGATGCGGGTTACTGAGTGCAGCCGAAAAGCAAGCTCACCGTCAGCCTTAGCTCTGTCGGCGTGAGATCACTGTTCCCCTTTCGGCTAGTATTTGGCCTCGAGGGTTTCGGATTAAGGTTGTATCAGTATCGTTTAGGATTAGGATTCAGGCCGCTTACTGCAAGCAACTGTCTGTCAAGACTGAACCTACAAATAGTCAATATCTCAACTTCTGCGGCCTCCTTTCGGGCATCCTTGTGGAACGCGGCTGCCGAAACTTCCCCAGCCGAAACATATCCCAGCTGCGTGAGATCTCACGATGCATTACACGAGGGAACCGAGCGCTTGTTGCGAAGGTGCAACATCGAAACGACTGAGCCTGTTGCCCTAATGTCCAAAGGTCGTCTGTGACTACAGATGCGCGAGCGTCTCCAGACAATGTCAAGGCTCAACACCTCCATTCAACATCACTCCCGCAGCCGCAACCCCTACCCTACCTGAAACCGAGCCCCTGAGACTCCACAGATCCTTTCGACTTCGATAACTTCGCGTTTATGATTTGGTCTCTGTGAGACTTGCGACTCAAAACCGTCGATCAATACGGGCCGTGTTTTCCAAGCCAGAGCTCACAGAGGCCCATGAACGACTCCCCAACAGCCCAAACCTAAAACCCTAAACGCCAACCCTAACCCCTCCAAGAACTTCATCCCTAAACTTAGACCATGCTTAGACCCAAAGCTCTTGGACATCTTGAAAGCCCAAACCTCAAGCCTGTGACCCGGCACAAGTCAAATGCCTTGCCTAAATGCAAACCCCAATGCCTGAAGCCAAAAACCCCTTAAAATCCACAAACCCCCAAAGCATCCCTAAAAGCCCCCAAACCCTCAACCCCCAACAGCCCCAGCCCTTACGGGGTGTAGGGTTTAGTAGTAGTACTAGCCCCTTATCGAGCTCAGGGTTCAGTAGTCTTATCCCCGTAAAATCCCTCAAATAACCGCTTAAAAGATCTCTTATAAAGGAACCCTTAAAGGAACCATCAAAGACTTCCTGAAAAATCTAAACCCTAGACCCTAAACCGCACCTTAACCCGGAATAACCTCCCCTTTTAAGGACTTATATAAGGAAATCATAAGAAGGAATCCTAAAAAGGTAGGTTATTGGAGGCAAACCTTACAGGAAGCCCCCAAAGCCTAAGCCGGTTCGGCTCCGCGGCCTCCCGCGCGAGGCCTCCGCTGCCTCCACGAGCTGCTGGGCCAGGAGGCGGCCCACCTTCAAGGTTTAGGGTTTAGGGGGACCTTCTTCTGAGGCGACGATCTATTACTACAATTATGAGTATGTTTCTACACCTACTGTATACTCTATCTGTATATTTCTGCACGTTGTTAGATATACAGATGTGTGTGTCTGTATATACATCACCTATGTATATATATATATATACACATAAATAAAAAATGTATATATATATATATATGTGTGTGTGTGTCTAGATCTCTAAAACAAGGGTCCGCTCTCCTAAACGACCCTAGAAGGGACCCTAGTATGGACAACTGCCCATCTTGGGTTTAGGGGTTGCAGGCTGCGGGGGTTCGGGGTTTAGAGATGCTACATAGGGGCTACTATAATTGCGGGGTGCTACTTGGCTTGCGTTTTCAGACTTTAGAGTCTTAAGGTTAAGGGTTTTGGACTTACTAGTAGGGTTTTGGTTTGTTGGGGATCTAACTAAGGGGTTTTGGGTTTGGGTCTTAGGCTTTAGTTCTTGTCGGCTAAGTGGCTGGGGGTTGGGGGGTTTGCGGTCTTGGAGTCGAGGGCTTTCAGGGTTTGGGGTGTAATAAGCCCTGTTTATGATGGCAGGAGTTAATAAGGCCTGGTTGGGGTTATGAATCTATGCGTTCCCTAATAAGCTTTGTCAGCGGTTTTCTAATCTTGTACGAAAACCGTATTTAGGTTTTGGGACATAACATGGGGAGTGGCCTGTCTCGCCCGTTCGCACGCCTGGTCCAAGAGGTCACCCAGCTCTTCCTAAGGTGCAGCTTAGGAGTTTCATGGGTTCTGTAATTTAAACAGTTTTAAAGAAACCCTTATATATCGCTGTCCAACAGTGTTCTGTGAGGGTTTGATAAGGGTTTGCGGTTTCGGGTTCAGCGGTCTAAGGGCCCACAGGATTTAGGACACGGGTCTAGCGTTCAGGTCATAAAGCAAGCTGTCCGGGCCCCCGAGCCCTTCGAAGCATTGATGAAGATGGCTCTGGGGTATGCATCTTTTGTCTTTGGCATAGGGCATCTTCGGCTCGTAGCCTCAATCCCTAAACAAGAAACCGCTTGTCCTACACCCTTTACCCTGAAGCCTCATTTGGCTGTGTCTTCTGGAGTAAAAGGGATGTGTTCCAAATCTAATGGCTCTTGTCATCTTTTTGCAACGTTTTTGCGAAATTTCATCCTTGGTGTGTTTGTTCGTGTATGTGTTCAACGACTGTTCTTCTTGTTCTTTGAAGTTCTGTTGCAGTTCTGGTGGCTTCAGGTGTTTCGAGGTTCTGATTGTGCCCGGGTTGTGCTCTGGGCTTCGATGCCGCGGCTGCGCAGAACAAGCAGACGACCTTCGCGGAAGCTGCGAGGATCCAGAAGCAGAGTAAAACCCCGAACTTGAACTCCATACTCGCCAACCGCTGGGGCCGATCGTCCTAGTCATTTAGTTACACCCGACAGTAAAACACTGCCAAATATGCAACGCAGCACTAGGAATCAGTGAGCCTAAGTCCTACATAACCCTCAGCCCTGATTGCCGGGAGGCCAGCACGGTCTTGATGACTCGCTGTTGGAAAGTGATGGGGTTCCTGGGCAAGTCTCAGCATGGCTTTCGGATTCGGGGTTTCCAGGTTTGTTTTGGGGTGTTCAGGGTTAGGGTCTGGGTCAACCACTGCATTTGTTGGCAAAAGATGCAAAAAAAACTTTCCTCAGTGTGGACTGTCAAAAAAACCCGAAACCCTGGTAGCCTGCACGCAAGCTCCGGTGTCCCACCGCAGCAGAGTGTTGGCAACGGAAATGAAGGACACATATCGGCAGAGTGCACCAGCAACTCTGGACGAATTTGAAGTTGAAGAGAAGACCACCCGGTTGATAGGAGATGAGATTAGGAGATGATGATAACAAACAGCTGCTGCCAACTCTATTGTATCTAAGTCTATCTAACTATATATATATATATATGTACAGCTATATGTGTATACATACACAGTATAAGAAAGACCATCATCTTTGGCAAGCAAGACACGACCAGAACAAATTGACAATGGAGGTGGTGTGAACAGCCGGCCTTCATAGGCATGATAGCCAGTCTGATAATCATCGTCAGCATCGTCACATCTTCACCACAGTGGCCCTAAAAGCTGCAGAAAACATGAAGCGCATACCATCATCGTCACAGGTCGTCTGAACTTTGACATCCAAAGCACTCATAAGCTTCCAAACTCTTGAAGCCGGGAGCAGAAAGCGACTTGGTCTGCAGATAAGGCTCGATAGCGACATCAGGAAGGCAGCGATGTACTCTGTCCGCTTCAGATCCTGAGGCACAAAGCCCAAAAGAGCCGCGCAGCGGTGTCAAAGCGTCGCTCAACACCCTTAAAGGCACGACCACCATAGCAATGATCCCAACAGTCTCAACATTAAGGTCTGTCGGGAAGGTGCAACGGTTTGAAGAGTTCAGTTTAAGAAGAAAGATTGGTATTTACCAGCATTTGGCTGCATGCGCGTGGCTGTTCGACTGTTACCGTTTGTGGCGGGGCCTGCAAGGGCACCTGCCATTCAGGACTAAGCTGGGGCTTTCAGTCTCGACTTTCCATTGTCCTGTGCCTTCGACACCAAGTATTTCAGTCAGGGCAAGCAAAGCGTCCCTGGCCAAAGCATCTCGCAGCTGGTTTCCGAGCTTGTAGAGCACCTGCAAGCCCAGAGAAAAGGAAGCCTTAGGATTGTTTCGGACTCGGGCTACAGGGTTTAGGGCGTAGGAATTTAGGGCCAGCGTGACCACACGCAAAATAATCGCCCTGTTGGTACACCTGCGACAAGACGACTTCATCTGCAGGCAGTTGGCTTGACAAAACGCTCTTCAAACACGTCAACTCCCGGAATTACAACTGGCCGTACTTAGTCATCCGCATAGTCACCCCCACTACCCGTCTGTAGAGTGTTGGCGCCTCTGTCTCAAAGCGCAGGAAGCAAACTTGACCAGATGTCCAGGGACCCTCCACCTCATCTGCCCGAGAGCAAGGGCTGCAAGATCCAGCGCTCCAGGACAGCAGGACTCGCCCTAAATGCTTGCCAGCCCCGAGTTTTGAGTTCTTGTAATTTACATAGTATCTACGAAGCGACACCAAGGTGTCCCTGGAGTGCCCAGACTCCCGATCAGAATGTGTTGGACAAACAGACGCAGATGGGAGCTTCTTCAATCAGAAGAATCCCCTGTACGTACTTGCGCCCTCACGTTAGGAGTGACGAACCTGTCACCCATGAAGAAGCCCTTGCTTAGAGAAGCACCCAGATAGTACATGAAGAACAGCACCGACAGCAAGACCAACAAAAGGCAACACCTTCAGGACCACAGAACAGCGTCAACAGCCGGGGTTCAGGTTCGGTTAGGGGCTACGATTGCACACAACAAATGCGGGGGCCCGGTCCCTCAACTTCTTGCACCACTGCAACACAGTGTTGCCTGTCGGCCTACGAATCGCTCGTTGAGCAATTCACAACAGGAACGGAGCATTAGATACAAAATCATGAGTCCTACACCCTGAACCCATGCCAATAGCCCTCACCATCATCATCATCATCATCATCATCATGACCATCACCATCATAACTGTAAGAGCAATCACAGTAATATATGTATGCATATATGTAATACATGTGTATATGTACACACTTGAGTACGTGTATGGATGCATGTAGACATATGTGTATATACATTCGCATACATATATATATATATATATATATATATACATGCGTGTGTGTGTGTGTGTGCGTGTGTGTGTGTGTGCACGTGCATATAGGCATGTGTCTGTATATGGCACGAATGCCCAATTTCACATCCAAAGGCTGCCCAGGGCTGGCAGACGTCTGCAAGGCTCCGAAGGAATCCAGACACACAGATGACCTTGTGCCTCGGGTTTCAAGCGCTTTGATGCCCTTTGGGTCTTTTGGGCCGTTTGGGTTTCGATTTTCGGAACTCGTTCGGGAGAAAAACCCGGGGGTTGAAGGATCCTCTATAGACATGTTCGACATTATGGTGAGTGTTTGAGCATCGCGGCTTAGGGCTCAGGAGCCTAGTCAGGGCGTTGGGTTCAGGGGCTCGGGGACCATATTTGGGGATCGAGGGCCAGCTAGGAGCAGTTCGGCTCCGGTTGGGGGCTGTACAGCGAGATTGAACCTCAGGATCTTGAATTCACCGGCTGAAGATCCTTCAGCGGAGATTTGGAGCATGGGCTTCCAGGTGCATGTTTCAGAAAATGAGGGGACTCTAATGTACATCCAAACTTTAATGCTCCTGCAGTCATGAAACACCCAAGTACAAGAGAAGCCTGTGCGAAGCATAGGATCTGGGGCTGAAGGCAAATTTGCCTAGGGCATAAGCGGCCTGATACCATGCAGGGTTGAAAATTCAAGGCTCTTCGCTCGTCTGGCTTTATGCTTCAGGTTGGTAACATCAAGTCTGAAGAAATCGAGGCAGACCGATGCCTGGTCATGCCGACGGCAGACAGACCAAACTCAGACCCCCTCATCTTGCACTGCCGACACCCTAAACGCCCAAACCGGAGCCCCCCTGAACCAGAGACAGAAAATTCTACTATAGGGGCCTGAATAATTAGAATACGGTTTTGGGGCCCACTATACTTTGCTTCCAAGAAGGAACCTCCAAAACAGTACATCTAAAGCCCTTCAGCCGAGCCAAAGTCTCTCCCTCTGCACTCTGGGATCGCCGGGTGGCGGAGACAGGCAGGGGCCCAGCGGCTCCAGTCTCATCCTCAGAGACTCGAATCCAGTCAGTCAGTCGTGGGTAGCCCCCAACATGAAGCCCGGAACCATAAAGCCCTGGAGCCTAAACCTTGTCCTTTATCGCATCGGGCTTAGGCCTGTAGAGAAATGAGGGAAAGGTTCATAAGGCTGCTGCTTATTTTTAACATAAAGCTGCACTGCCTGGTGTAGCGCGGGCGCCATAAAGCCAAGTGCTAAACTGCCTGGGAGCATTCAAGCTTCACGGCTTGGAGTGCTGGGGCAAACTGTATACCAAGACGATAAAGCTTGTATTTCACCGGCGTCGGATAAATGTAAAGCCGTCCGAGGCAACGACAACCACAAATTCGAATCAAGTGGCTCGCGCACCAGGAAATACCGGCGGCGCAGTTGTTGAAGCGCCACCTTACAGGCAAAGGGTTCGGGGTCTAGGTTTGAGGGCTTTGGGGCTCAGTAATTCACGGCAGAGGGATATACAACCTAAATCGCGGCTCACTTGGCCTACCTCCTGTAGGAGGGGTTCTCCTTGCAATCTGACTTGGGGGTATCGGATTAATCGCGACCGCCAATGTTTCTCTCTATCAGAAGGACCGCTCATGGTATAGTCTGTAATCTCGTATGTAACAGCATATAATACAGTATATGTGGTTAGAATCGTCTAGCTGTAAAGAGTTGGTGGTGGTGCTGGCGGCACTGGTGGCGCTGGTGGCGGCGGCGGCCGTGGAAGTGGCAGTGGCAGTGGCGGCGGAGGCGGCGGTGGCGGTGGTGGTGGCGGCGCCGCCGGCGGCGGCGGTGATTTGTGCCGTTGTTTTGGTTTCGTTATGTTGTTGTCTGACCTGTTGTTTTTTGTGACCCTTCATCAAAATCCTGCTTTGAGCACAGGGCCGTTGCGCCGGAGGTCGCGAAGATGCCGAAGAGGGCCTGCGCATGGGGGTTCGAGTATGGTGGAAGTCTTTACCATATCAGCGAACTATATCAGTGGCCCAAAACGAGTCCCAGACGACCGAAGCTCTCCATTTGGGAGGAAGCCCGAGGCAGACGTAGATAGGAGACGAAACAAGCACCTAAAACACGTTGGTAACACATCTGCAAGGGGGTGGGTTTCAACATCCTAAGTACTAGTAGAATTAGAAGAGAGCCTGGCCTTGAACCAGGCGGGCGAAGTGGCGACCCACTCCATGAAGCCATCGACGTGCGAGTCCTCGCGGGAAGCCCCGCATAAACCCGGCACATATAACTAAGACGGGCGATTGACAGAGATAGACAGAATGGTAATTGGTAACGGCATCAGTATTAGTATTTGTATAAGTAACAGTATAAGTATTAATTAGTACGAGTATTAAGTATTCTTATTCTTGTATTTACTATTAGTAGAATTTACATTTACCTACTTCTATGATCAGTAGCAATTCTACTAGTAATAATACGAGTACTAGTGGTAGTAGTAGTAGTAGTAGTAGTAGTAGTAGTAGTAGTAGTAGTAGTAGTAGTAGGAGTAGAAGTAGTAGTAGTAGTAGTAGTAGTAGTAGTAGTAGCAGTAGTCGTCGTCGTCGTGTAGTAGTAGTAGTAGTAGTAGTAGTAGTAGTAGTAGTAGTAGTAGTAGTAGTAGTAGTAGTAGTAGTAGTAGTAGTAGTAGTGGTAGTAGTGGTAGTAGTGGTAGTTAGTAGTTAGTAGTAGTACTAGATGATGATATATACTATTGAGTTATAGTTGCATTTATTTAAGAGAAACACAAAAGTCAGAAAGTGTACTAGTAGTATTAGTATTAACTAAAAAGGAGAGTACGGCTCATGGAGTTTATATTGATTTAACTCTTGATTGTTGACAGACAGACAGACAGACAGATACATACATAACAACGACCTGTCAACTGCACTTGCCTTACAAACCTGAAGCTGAGATGCGCACAACAACATTTTGCTCAAGCTCTGCGTTAGATGGCAATGCCAACAAGCCCTGCGACAAAAAACAGAAACCAGGGTTCTGAAAGTCTCTTGGTGTAGGCCACCCCTAAAACCCGTAACCCTCAGACACAGACACACAGACGTTGGGCCGGACCACTCCGAGCCTTGAATTGAAGCTAGAACCCGAAACACTCAAACCACAGGCCGAAGAAAAGGGCCTTAAGGGCTTAGTCTGTTTAGGTTTATAAGACCAGGAATTGCGGGCTCAGGGACTCCGGAGCAAAAAGCTCGCAGCCAGGGTCCAGGATTTGTGGATGGATAAAGGTTTATGGTTCAAACCTTTCCACTCTGAGGAAGGAAAGGCCCAGTCAATCGGCCTCAACCTGTTTCCTCGAATCTCAACATCAAGCCTCCTGCCCCCGACATGACTGAATTGAGACATTCCTCTCTTCCCTCGCGCCGTTCAGAAAGTTGAGGCTACTTTTGCAACAGCGCCAACTCAAGACCCAAGGAGCCTTCACCAAGTAGCAGGCCCCACGCATCAGCGCGATGTGGTGGTAGTCCTGTCGCTGTGCAAGTGCGATCTTTCCAACTGTGAAACTACACTGCTTCTTTCCGAAGCCTTCCGTGCAGCTTACATATGAGCACATCAGTTGTCAAGCGAGATGGGTAAATCACTCACAGTGACTGAGCCTCGTCAACCGGGGTAGCTTGCATTGCAATCAAACTGGTAAGCTGATTTCTGTGCACCTGCAGGCTTCAGGGAATGGAGCACTTCGCCGCAATTCATCACCACATTGGTCAAGCCCCTTGAGGACTTGAGGAAACATCACAAGTTTGGGCTGCACTTTGTACACAGCAAGCACAAAATGGCGCTTGGGCCTCGCGGCAAAGGATCTCTTCGTCCAGCGTGTGCAGAATCACGGCCGTCTCGATGTATGAGATGGACCTGCGACTCTGAAGCAATGTGTTGGCTTGCCCTGGACCCCCTCAAGTCGACTTTTCCGGCGAGTGGCGCGAGTGCGCCAAACATGCCGCCCAACGCCAGGGACGATGGAATGATGTACCTTGGCTGAGGGCTCAGACTTTGGATCTAGTGCCCAATACCTTTCAAGCTAGAATGCAACGTATGAACCGCGGGTGCTCTCCTGTAAGGACACGACAAATACTATATAGAGCCTGTAAGCAACGCAGGAACACAGTGTCCAAGCCGCCTCAAGAAGCTTCAAACCCCAATAACGCTGCAAACAAAGGGAGAGTTGGTTGAACGCTCTTGGCGGAAACTTGCAAGGAGCCGAACAACTAAACCCGACACACAGCCAGAACAGAAAAGCTGTCAAATCCGACCTTCTTCCACATCTTGAGGCCATGAGGACTGCCTCATTGAGGCATCCCAGTCTTCTCCAATCTATACGATCTCCCGAAACTGATGTTGCACTGGCAGGCTGCCGATACTTCCCTGGAACGATCGGAACCTTGGTCTCTTCCAGGCTTCTGTCCAGAAGGCGGCTCCACTCGATCCTTCGCTCAGTCTTCTGGGCTCCTTTTTCTAAGGCACTTGTTTTGGGTTCTATGCTCCTACCTTCATGTTCTGCGCTGCTTTCGATGTCGGTGATGATCACGAACCTATCAGGATCACGATAATCAGAACAATGGTGGAGGCCTACATGATCGGAAGTTAACACCCATACTTCATTGCAAAAAGTTATTGATAAGTTATTGTGTAAACACCCTGAGCCCAATCCTTGTTGGGCTCGGGCCTGAAAAGGGGCTTCGAGCAAATGATCTAACACGACCGATATACGGAGAACCGGAATCAACCTTAACTCAATGAAGCTCTGTGTCTCTGCACCCGAGTCTCTCGGGGAAGAAATTGGTGTACATGGCCGCCCGCCCACGGCGAAGTTGGTCTTGCCTTTGTGCTCACATCACTATATGGAGCTTCGGGGTATACTTCTCCCAGTTACCCCTTATAACCTTTACCATGAATGTGAACAAACTCGGGGCTCCTACTTTACGAAAAATCACAACCCAAACCTTAAGTACACTCGCCTTCGAGCCGTGGCACTGTTCGAAAGTCACGGGCGCTGCCTCTTCGGCGGCCAAGTCTCTGGGCTCAGCTCCTTCTGTTCCGTGGAGCTTAGGGCTTAGAGTTTATGGTCTGAGTTAAGGGTTTAGGGTCTGTTCCGTGGAGTTTAGCGTTTACGGTCTGGGGTGTCTAGAGTTTGAAGTTTAGAGCGTCGGGCTTACAGTTTACAGGTTTGGGGAATAGAATTTAAGGTTAGCACTGGGCTTAAAAGCCAAAACAAATCCAAGAAACACCCGAAATCCCCGAACCCTTAGAACCCACAACAGACCTCTGAACCCCCTAAAAACCCATAGCTCCCTAAACCTGAAACCCCCAAATCCCTAAACCCCTAAGCCCCAAAAAAGGGGCGCCTGCCGCCGCCTCAGCGAGCTCTAGCCGGGGAGCCTCGGGCGCCGGAAGGCGGCCCAGGGCTGCCAGGTGCCGTTCCTGAATCAAGGGGGAAAAGGAGGGACCCCTAGGCTCTTAGGGTTCCTTTAAAGGGATCTATAAGGGTCCCTTTAAAGGGATCTATAGGGTTTAGGCTTTAGGGTTTAGTTTAATCAAAAGGGAAAAGGAGGGACCCTTAATGGGGACCCCTACCCTTTAATGGGTATATAGTGGCTATATTATGGGTATATACCTAGGGGTCCTTATTAGGGGTCCCTCCTTTTATCCGCAGTGTTAGAGGGGCTTAGGAATTAGGGGCTTTGGGCCTAAGTGGCCAGGAGTACTGGGAGTTTAAGTCTTGAGGAGTTTCAGGGGTTACAAAGCTTCGACGAAACATGGAGTTTAAGGGTTGATATCGGGTTTTGGGTCGAGGGAGAAGAGTTAATTAAGGGCAGGAGTTATAGGGGTTTGCAATTTAGACGTTTTGGGCCGGGGGTTTACGGCGGGCTTAGGGTCACGGGGGCCGGGTGGGGGTATGGAGTTTGAGATATGTAAAGGATGTATTCAAATTGAAACCTCGTGCTTCGAGAAGTCTTAAGCGAGGGTGAGCCTTGACAACGACGTTGATCAGGTTTAAGTTGAGGGCGGAGGGTTTAGAATGAGTAGGGATTCGACGACCATGCTTCAGTTCTCGGTGATACTTGAGATGTTGGCATTCAGGGGCGCGCTTTCTGGGCTTTGGGTTGGAATGCGTAAGATGGACCCCTCGGCCCGAATGCCTCAAATCCAACACCCGAAGACACACGAGGAAACATGAAACCCCGAGACCCCCAAAGATCCGAAACCGAGACCACTAATTGTGGCTCAGGTTGCCAGTAGCTCGAAGAAGAGCCGCCCAGTGCCGCTTGCTGGTTCGATTGCATCTGCCGCCTGGATCCAAAGATCTTCGACAAGCGAAGATCAGTCTCGGGTTCAGGGATTTTAGGGGACTTATAAGTACCATAACCCCAATTAGGGTCCCTTTTCGGGTACTTATAAGTCTACTTACTACCTACGTTAGAGGATAGGGATTTTAGTGTCGGGTCTTTGTTGAGGTTAACCCTCTGTCTCGGGATTTTAGGGGTTATAGGATTTACGGCTTGCGGGTCAAGGGTTGAGGGGTTGGGATTCAGTCGGAGGTTTGAGCCTTGGGTTGAAGCTTAGGGTTTGGGAGTCAGTTAGGGCATTTGGGCTAGGTTCCGGGGATTTAGGCTTAGCTGGTTAGGCGTTCAGGCTTTGGACTCAGACTTTCTATTTGGGGGTTCAGGCTTTCATTAGGGTTTGGTGGGGCTTGCAAACTGGAGCTTCTTGCTCGGCGTCCTTCGCATAGGGTTTCTGCATGACGAGGGTCTACATGCCTTCGCGAGCCCTAGACCTAAAGCATAAGGTCCGAAACTAATCCTGAACTAGATCTCAGGTCACCGTAGGTTTGGGACTGAGGGTGTCAAGTGTGCCCCCAGGACCTGGAGTCTGATGCAGAAGGGTAGATGCTGCAGCATAGCCAACTTTAAGGGACGAACAGGGAGATTTTAGTCTCACCCCCCGTAACATGGTCAGAACGAAATCCCGAAACTCTCACCCTCGCCTTCCTCAGGGAAACGCGCAACAGGGCACCAGAGCTGGAAGATGAGGCGAGCAAGGTGCCTAGAGCAGCTACGAGGCGGCAAGCGGCATCGCACCTACGGGGACCCCTGCGTACCTAGGATTCATCATGACGCTGCTGTGTGCGTGGCTTCGCATCTGTTGGCTGGGTCTCGAGTTGCCACCACCGTTATCATCTCACAGCCGCTGGTAGTGGTATGGCTGTGATTACGACGATCGGCGGAGATAAAGCGAAGCTCTCTGGAATACTCAGGCATCCCTATCCCTGCCTATGGGAAGCAGCAGCTCCAAACGAGAACCGGAAGGCCGGCAATTCTGACGGTAGGCCTCCGCTGCCTGCAGGAGCCGGGCTTGGGGTTTAGGGTTTAAGGGTTTAGGGTGGTTTAGGGTTTAGGGGGTCCGGGACAGGGCCGACGGGTGCTCCGCTGTTTTTCTACACCCTCTCATCATAGTAGCTTCATCGCCATGGCCAACGTCAGAATAACCATGACCATCAGCCGTACACACACGCCTGGGAATGAAGATATGCACTCATGTATAGTAACTTTCAACTTTTAACTTCACCTATACTGTCTATAGAGGCAATCTTTTGGGAAACTCTCATTGATCATATCTCCAACGCATCCCAAGACAGAATGCCTGTGATGCGTTGAGGTCGTGTCCGGAGTGCCTCCTCGATTGGCTTGTAGGTGACCGCATTACGAGCCGAGCTCAGCAGATCTTCCTGGTCGCTGTGACAAGGCTTTCAGGTGTAAAGTTTTACGCTTTGCATGGGTGACGCATGGACGCCAGTGTTTGTCGAATGGTGGCACCAACGAGCACCTGCAGCGTCTAGATTTCATGCTGCTATACTATGCAGCGGAGGCTAACTTGAAGCAGGAAATTCTCAGAATCTGGCAAACCTCGTATCTAAGTATACCCAGAAGTATTGAGACACTTACCATGACATCAACCAATCGCCAAAATGGTAGTCCCTTTGTTTCAAGGCCTCCTCAGGTCCCCACTCCTCAGCGCCGAAACCCTAAAGCGTTGAAACTCCAACTTCGAAGCCAGTGAGACTCTCGAGCTCTAGATATCTCGGTACCTTCTGCAGGGTCCTTCACAACAGTCTTGACGTTCGGATGCGATCCATATCCAGCCAACAAAGGCAACTCTAGGGGCCGAGATTCGTTAGCATCGAGCTTTGGGGCTCATATACTTATACATTGGATGGAAATCGGTAAAAGGGGATACCCTACCCCCAAATCCGACCTGTCGCTGCGCAGCCGAGGATCTTTTAACTCCGAGTCATCGGGCACGAGGAGCTGGCAAAGACCCTCCGTGACACCTGAAAAACAAAATCCCTTCCCGGGTTTAGGGTTTAGGGGTTTAGGCTTAGAGATTGCGGGGGTGTAGGGTGCAAGTAGAAATTTGATCAGAAAGGTGGCGATAACAAGACCAAGTATCATGGTGTGTTGATGGTGACTGCAATGGTACTCAGCATATAAACACAGTACTACTAATCCAGCAATCAACGGAGCCAAGCCACCGTGGAGACGATCTGCAAAAAGCACTGTTGCACGGCCCTCGTGGCTGGCGAGCCTTTTTCAGTGGATTCGGCCAATACAGGGTCTTGATAATGTGAAATATCATGATATACTTATATTTTTGTGTGTATATATATATGTGTATTGTAGAAGTACGTAAATACCATGATATAATCACACACACAAAGACATATATATATATATATATAGAGTACATACATCTTCGCATTGTAACTATATGGGGGCTGGGGTTTAGCTGTTGGGTTTGTAACTATATGGGGGCTGGGGTTTAGCTGTTGGGTTTAGGCTAATTAAGCCAATTTCCCATTGTCAGCATGCGTTACTTGCTTTCACTGTTGAGTGGGTGTGTGGTTGCCTCCAAAGTCGGTAGCGTTGCAAAGGGGATCCAGAGCCGTACCATAATCCCCGATAAGCCTATATTCCTCCCGGAGATTTTCTGCAAACGACTACAACTACAAACACGAAATGCCCTTCTAGTTTCAGTAGCCCTAAACCCTAAACCCTAAAACCGAAATCGCCTTCTCGCCGTGGCCACAGCACAGGAAGCGCAAAGGACAGCCAGTGTGCGGCGCTGCTCGCGGAAGAGGTCCTGGACAACTTCAACGGTAAACCCTAAACATCTGTTAAAACCCTTAACCCTCCCAAGTTTAGGGCTGTAAACCATGACTCTAAAATGTGGGTTTGTAAGGTTTCCGTGGAGTTAACGTAATGTTTGAGGGTTGGACTTTCAGTGATTTGGGATTCAGGAGGCCTAAACAACGCTAAGAATTAGGGTGCTAGAGGGGCTCCACAGAACGCACAGTGACTTGATGCCGAGAGTTCTGCTGAAGGGGCAGCTTATTGCTTCAAATCCTCTGAAGCCCGAGATGGTGCTTCACGGTAAGGGATTGAGGAGGGGATTCTAAACCCAGGAGCTTCCGAACTTAGCCCCGGCCAGGCGAGGTCTTTGGGTCCTCCAGAGGAGGAAGGCCGGTTGCGGTGATGTCGCCCTCGGTGATGTCTGCCAGGTACTGCAAGCTTTCATGATGCAGATCGGAGGCCTCCTTCCGAGCCCGCATCGCCCGGCGGAAGGTGTTCTCCAGCGCTGTAGGGCAGGCCACGGGTTCCTCCAAGAACTCGATCTGCAACTCGATCTCTCCGGCAGCGTGAGAGCTAGTGCTGCCACCTGTTCCACCATCCCCACCATCGGCGACCCCTGCACTGGCATTGCCAACGCTACCTGATGGCCGCAAGGAAGCAATGGACGAGGACAGCGGCACACGCACTACGACGGCCGGTTGCCGGCCATCATCGTCCAGCAAGGTGCCATCTTCTGCAAAGGCCAGGCGGAAGGCTTCGTTGATGTCTACTGCCCCGGTGGCAACCAGAGGGTCGGGATAGACCAGAAAGATGTCATCGAACACAGATAGCTCCAGCAACTCCTGCTGCTGGTACCAGAAGGTAAACTCCACGTTGCAATAAGAAAGCTGCAGACCACCTGTCTCCACCTTCATGCGATAGCCGAATTGGGGCTGTGACGAGTGGCGCTCCTGCGAGGAGGGCGCCGCCCGGTATTTGTCCCATCGGCCGCGGAGGAGCTCTCCACACTCGAAGTTGCTGCTGGGGAGCCCGGTGAAAACGAACCTCTGGCTCTGGCTATCCTCGCGACTCGCCATCACGAAGGCGGGCCTTGTCCGGCCTACTTGCTGGCCGCAAGCTGCTGAGACATACGGGCAGATCTTGTTGGTGCCATTGTCAATGGCAAACTTCTCGGTGACACGCAGGGAGCGCAGCGTCACCCGGAGCTGCGACGTGCGCGCCTGCAGCTGCCTCGCAGCGCTCTCCTGAACGACCGGCACACGAACGTCGCCATCCAAGGTCGTGGTGACCATGACGTAGAGTTCAGGGCGCTCTCCTTCTCCGGATTCAGCCAAGGGCAGCACCCGCCGGAAGGCGCCCGTCGCTGCCCCGCTCAGCACCTCTTGCAAGGGCACCAAGCAGCTCCCCAGCAGGAAATCCTCGCAAACCACTTCGAAGACCAGGTGGGACTCGTGCCCTGTGAAAGGAAGCTCCGTGCGCCAGTCGAAGATGGGGTGCGCCCCGAAAGCTTCTCCCAAGGGAGACCGGCGCTCATGGTGCCCCAAGGCGATGACCGCCTCTGCAGCTGCAGATCGGTACTGCATGTACTGCTCTACCAGAGAAGACTCCCGATACTAGATCCCAGCCCTGCCAAGTCTACAAGCAAAATTTTGCATACCGAGAAAGAACGGCAACATTCTGGGACGGGCCTGCGGTGGAAACCACCGAAAGGCAGGCAGGTTGAGGTTCGTCGCACGGATCACAGTGACAAAGAGCTGTCCCTTCGCATCCTCGGCGAAGAGCAGCTTAGCTTAAACTCTCACATTGCATAATTACAACGGCCGTGGCCTTACAAGGCTTTGCAACATGTCGTCCCTCATCTACCAGCCCAAACTCTGCAGTTTCCGATTGAAGCCTGAAAGCCTGAAGCCTACAAGCTCTCTGAGCCTGAAGATCTGGAGTGTGTCATGCAGAACCTTGATTCTGCGATGTCTGGAACCCCTGATGCCTTATAGCACTTACCTGCATAGAACTCGAACAGGACAGCACAAATCCAAAATCTCTAAACCCCAAGCCCGACCAACCCCTAAACGAGGCTGTTCATTCGAATCCCTAAAACTCCAAACCCTGAATCTGATCCAGGGTCCGAAGACTTAATTCGTACTAACATCCCCATAGAGCCACTGTGTACTAGAATATTCCCGACCACGTACTCCAACTAGGGCCCCATTACCCTATTCTAATTGTTCAGGCCACACTATTTATGTTGCACATCCTGTCTAGAATCTTCCCGGCCCTCGGCCCGGGGGAAGAGGCGCTGGCGCAGGAGCGCCAACCTCTCCTCGCGTGGCGTTCAGCGGTTCGGGTTGGGGCTTAGGGCCGGGCAGGGTTGAGGATTTGAGATATCGGGGTTCGGGGGTTTAGGGTTTTAGGGCTTTTGGGGTTGCTTTACAAAAGGGCGTTTGGTGTTTCAGGGGCTGGGTAAAGAGTTTAGGGACAGTCAGGCTTTAAACCCACCAAAGGACAAAGTCGTGGACCTTTTGCTCGTAAGCTTAACTTGAAGGTTCAGGCTCCAAGAGCCTGGACGTCGAGACGCGATTGTTCTGTAGTCCTGTAGTATGTATGTATGCAGTATGCATGCATACCTGCCTTCTTAATCAGAATGGGGTGTTGGCGTTATGGTACTCTGATTATATTCAGGAACCTTAAGAAATGAAATGTTTAATCGGGGCCCCTGGATTGGGCTCTTGGTGGAGTTTCCCCAAAGTTTGGAACATTCTATAGTATATAACTAATTTATATGGGGACAGCAATAAGCTGAGGAACGGCCCGCTTAAACGCTACTAGTGGAAGGATTCCAATTCGCAGCTCCAAAGCAGGAAGTGCGAGAAGTACCAGCAGAAACTTTTAAGTTTCGACAAAGTTGAGGGTTTACGGTCCGAATCTGAATGTGCTTCTTGAGTTTACTGGGATGGGGCCGAAAGTCCGGAGCCAACATGGCAAGATGGAAAGCCTTGAACAGCCCAAGTCACGCTTCCAGTCTGCGCCGCCATGCGACTTTCCACATGCGGCCCTAGTCCCAAGCCCCTTCGCAGTGTAATGTATACAGAGAGACCGCACCATGACAATTGCACGGTTCCTGTATTGTTGGGGTTTGCAATATGGCGCCTCGCTTACTGGCTTTGCTAATCTCATGGACGCACGGGCTTCGGTCGTTCGTGAGGTGCAGGGCGTGTCCTTGATGCTATCATGCAGGGACCGACGAAGCTTGTTTCAGTAGGCTTTCAGCATTAACATAACTTCTTTCACGCTACTAAATGTGTGGTGTACCCGTTGTCTAAACCTTTGATTTAACCTTCTCCGCAGAACCTTTCGACGCTGCGTGACACATACAGTATTCGCCACGGCAACAAGGTCCTCTGGTTTTGTGGCTGGGTAGCTTGGGCTCGAGGCTTCTACGTGCTTGGCCCGGCCTAGAGAGAGAGACCCTTAAACTGGTTTGAAAGACTTGCCACCCATGTTGCGAAGACCAAGGATCTTTCTTACATGATCTAACACTAGGCCCTGGAGCCTCAGAGCTCCTAGGTCTTCCAAGGTTTTCTCTAGCTGCCTGGGACTAACAAACAGGATCCGTGCCGTGTAAGAAGTCTTCCGAATGCTACGGGCTTCTTCCTCTCCTTGCCATACAGGAGCCACAGGCCCGTGACTCGCACAGCCACTGCACCAGCCGTGACCGTTGATGTTACAGTCAGGCCCAAACACTCACAAGTCCGACTCTGCAACTATTGGAGCTTCTACATCGAAAGTGCTGACAACGCCAGGATAGGAAGCTGAGGACCCCCAACCTGGCCCAAAAGGTGCTCCAATTTAAGACCATGGCAACATCCAACTGCAGAAATCCAGAGCGCAAGCATCCTCTCTCTTGGAACCTTGAGCTTCTACCTAAACCCCAGACCGTAACGAGTGTTCTCCCTATCACTGTGCGCGACTGCGGGTTCTTAACGGGCCCTTGTATTGCTGATGCAAGCAGTGTACTATACGTAACTATACTTATTTCAGGGAGTATAGTGATGGTGAGGAAACACGTTATGCTGGACCCCTGCAAACCCTCTCCCTCTCCCTCTCAGATCCTGGGGATCTGGCGTGCGCGATTCGCAGCATGTTGCAGTCAACGAGTTTTGGGAAATCTACTGGTTGACAAAGGTACAAAGGTGGGTACCAGGTACTGCAGCTTGGGGTGCCTACAGGCTGAGGGTGTACGGTAAGGGCTCGTGAGCTGGAGTATGTGTGGATAGATGAAAAATCCTCAACTCTATAATAATACAGTCCGTGTGCACAAGATCCGAGAAGGTGTAAACGTAAAGCTCCATCTTGAGCCAAAAATCCGCAAATCCCGGCAGTGAGGTGCTTTTCGACGCAGCTCTGCGGTTGGCTTGCAGCGAGGGCTCAACCAGTGCTCTTAAGTATTTAGCACGCCGGGTCGCGGGATCCAAGGCTCCTTAAACGTGTCGATTAAGTCAGTGGGCTGGAGGCTGCTGATAGAATGACGACTTGAGGCAACAGGCAACTGCTGCAGTTCACCTGTCCTCAGCCTCATGATGTTAAACCACAAAGCGCAAGTCCTTTTTTGGCGGCAGCACGGCCCAAGATCCAAAAGCCCGTTGTCGGTCGGTGAAGCACCGGCAATGGGAAGTGGGAAGGGTCAGGAAACGCACTTGAGAACTTACTCTTTGCAGCTTTGCATGATGCTTCGACAGGGTTTATTTCGGGATTTGGCGGGCTTGTGTGCGTGTTTTGACGAAGAACCGAACACCCTAAATTCCGACAGCAGCACCCTCCCGACAATGTTTCAAAATGCGCTGCAGTTTGAGGTACTTGGACTACCCAGCTAGGGATCCTTGTTGCAAGGATCCTTGGCTTTACTACTGCCAGGGAGCCTGCAATTTGTCAGATGTCTCAGGTGTAGCATTTTGAGCTGAGGGTTTAGGCCTGGAGGGACGGAGTAGCCAGCGCATGAGGTTGCACAACTTCCATTTGCCAGTCCGTGCAGTTCGGACGGGCAATTGCGATACAGTGCAATCCTTCCCACCACGGACGTTTGCTGGGAGGCAGAGTGGCCATGTGAGTCTTCTGGAAACTGATCATGCTGGCCAACTACACTAAAATGTCTTGGGTGGACCGGTTTGGCTACTGTCACCACTGAGACTGCTTGACGGGGACAAGGAACCGGCCATTTCCGACACCTGTGTGCGACCGATAGCATTTCCTACTCGGTTACGCCACAAATGCTTTCAGGACCAAGGGTTTGTGCATGTTTCTGCCATCGGCCACGTCATCCCGAAAACCCTCGAGCCTCAAACCTCTATCCTCGGAAGCCGACCATGAGGCCTCACCTGGCCACTACGGGAACCTCCAAGGTCTGCACGCTCTGCTGACAGCAGACGCGCCTTTGTACAGTGGCTGCGGTGCAACCAGGATTTTTCTGCTCCGCAGCTTCGGTGGCGGGGCTGGTGGGGTTGGCAGCTGTTGCTGCTACTGGTAGTAGAAAAGCAGTAGTTGTAGTGGTGGTAGTAGTAGTAGTAGTGGTAGTAGTAGTAGTAGTAGTAGTAGTAGTAGTAGTAGTAGCAGTAGTAGTAGTAGTAGTAGTAGTAGTAGTAGTAGTAGTAGTAGTAGTAGTAGTAGTAGTAGTAGGAGTAGGAGTAGTGAGTAGTAATAATAGTAATGGAGGTACTGGTGGTGGCAGAAGAAGTAGAAGTAGACGTAGACGTGGAAGTAGCCGTCCTAGAAGTTGTTCTTGTAGAAGCGGTAGCAAGGATGGTAGTGGTGGTCGTGGTAGTCCGCGTCACTGACGAGGTGCAGAAAACCTCAACCCCGCTCCGTCTGAACCAATTCAGAACTTGGATCTCAAGGGACCAGAAGAAGCACACAACAGGCCCCTAAAGTTTGGAGGAAAAAACCTGCATTCGAGGGCGAATGCCCGCAGCCCCCCCAGGCATTGTGCTGCAATCACTTCGGGCTCCACATGCCTTCCGCAGCTTGGGACTTGAGGCCATGATGGTTCTGATGGCTTTCTACTTGAGGCTTCAGCCTTTCGGGATTAAGGTTTCGGCGGATTGGCGTCGGGTTTAAAGGGCATAAGGTTTCAGATTATGGCGAAGTGTTCAAGGGTTCAGGCTCGGGTTTTAGAGTTTAGGCTTCGGGTTTGGGGCTCCGGATTTCGGACTTCGTCTTCTGCAGTCGGATGGCTTGAGTTTCACATACAGGTGATCCCCTCCACCGGGAAGGAAACAGCGAAGATTCTGAACGTCCGCTATGGTGCGTATTGCTTCTTGCTGTTCATCTCTCTGGGGTTACAATCTGGCAAATCTCTTTTCTGTCTAGAAGAGCCCGGGTGCATTCGGGATGGAGTTCGCGCTGCTGGAAGATGCCACACCGGGAGTTTGCCATTACGGACTCAGCATGCGGGGGTGCTCAGTGCTCAGTTCATGCAAGGCACAAGAAAGCTCTAATGTAGTGCATGCGTCCGCGTCTCGACCAGACTGCAAACGGGAATGAAGAACTCTCATGTTTTCGATCCTGACCCACTGCATGGCCTAACCGAGTGTTGAAGAGCACTCGCAGGGTCTTCTGAAGGTGCATGTGGTATCGCCTCGCAACGGGCAGTACGCAGTCCTTCGTAGTAAGACTGCTACAGCTAACATGAACGGAAACATCAAAGTCCAACCAGTGACAGCAATACAAGTACCACCTCCGATAATCACAGAAGTAATGGTCAGCATGCCAACAATACGAACTTGATAATAAGCAACTGTCAACAAACCTACCGTCAACGAGACACAATTTTGTAACAACCCTCAACAGCCTGTCGCGACGCTTTGTGCCCTCGGACACGAGCACTGCCAGCACAGGCCACAAAGCCACGTACAGAAGCCTCGGCAGAGGGCCAGCAATGTTCCGAAGCCATGTCTGTGCTGGAATGCCCCACTTCACGTCCATCGAACATACAAACAGGCATGTAAACTGACTTGCTGGATACGCAGGAACGTGTGATACAGTGTTGCATGCATGCAGGTGCAACCGTGTAAGTAAAATGATAGATAACTAGAACCAGTAGAAGTTGCGGGACCTCGTACTTGTTGCTTAAAACATGTGAACACAAACAATACCTATTTGCACAGGAAACCCATGTATGTCTGTCCGTCTCTGTCTCGGTCTTGGTACTGCAGGCTGTGTCGGTGTCTTTGCGCTGTCTGCTGTCTGGCTGTCTGTCTGCCCGTCTATTGGTCTGTCAGTCTGTTTGTCTGCCTGCCTGGCCGGCTGGCTGGCTGACTGTCTATCTCGCTACATATGTATCTGGAGGTATTGGTGTGTGTATGGATATATCGCACATATATATATATATATATATATGGATAGATATACATACATACATACGTACATACAAATGCATATGCATATGTACATGCGTATGTATGATGTGTAATGTCTGCATGTACGTACGTACCTTGGGGGTTCCTTATGGTATGTATGCATATTTGCAAGTCCACAAGCATGCATCTATGCATGTGTGCATGTGTGCGTGTATGCATGTAAGTCACAGTGCAGCCACAAGCCCCAGGTTATGCAGACGCACTTTTTCCCCGAATCCGACGAGGTCCGAGAAGTGGCAGATCAGATCAAAACTCCGAGGGACCCGAGGCAGGCATAGCTCAGACAGGTCCGAAGACACCAACCTGTAGACCGCCTTCGTGGCGTCCACGCACTGAACCACCGCCCTGTCCGTGCCCAGAAGTTCCTCTTTCGTCAAGGTCGGCAGGACGAGGATGACCGTGCCCACGTTCTTGAAATCAAGCTTGTGCTTCATGTGCATCAGCCCGCTCACAAGGAGACTCGGGTCCTGGTGGAACTCCTTAGATGTTGCGTCCACATGCGAGAGGAGCTTCACGCGGTCCTCCCTTCTCAGGCAGTTCCACCGGGCCAAAACTGTGCTGGTGATCTTTTGGCCCTTTATCATCCCCACCTCCTCCGGGACGGTGCAATACCACCTGCACACAGCCTCCCACCAGGGGTGGGACTTGCTGAACAAGTCCATGACCGAGACAAAAGGCAGCTCCTTCTGGAGCATCACAACCCGATCTTCGATCAGCGGCAGGACCGCCTGGGGGTCTTTTGCCGCGTCCAGCTGCTCTTGAACCCAGGCCTGCAACTGCTCGACGTCTTCATGTTCCACCCATGCATAGTCTCCGGAGGTGCTTGGCACCGTGATCGATGGCGCCTTGTCGGCCACAACCCAGGAGCCATTGGTCGAGTCGACCAAGCCCGGCTCCGAAAGAGCCACATCCTGATCTGTCGATGGCACCCCCTGGGAGGGAGGATCGGCACCTGAGGCAACCGCGCTCCCTTCCCCAGGGGGCGCGTCCACCATGGCAAAGTCGCCATCAGCAGCCAGATCCGCCGGCTCCACCATCTCGACATCCAATGCCTCAGGTGACACCTCCTGGGAGGGACGATCGGCACCTGGGGCAACTGCGTCCACTACCACAGGAGGCTTGCCCGCAGCAGAGGAGTCGCGGCTGGAGGTCAGCAGGCGATTGCGCTTGGTCTCATCGTACATGTCCAGGAAAAGACGCTGGAGGATGGGCTGTCCCTTGAGGAGACCCACCGTGTGACAGGCTCGCAGTGTTTCGATAACACGTGCTCTCTTCACCTCGTCTTCTGATTGCTTGGTGACCTGGGCGAGCAGAGCCGTCGCATCTTCAAGGACAACACCATCTGCAGCACCTGCAGGAGCTGCTCTGGTCGGGATAGGGGCAGCTTCTGCCTCAACACCCTCCTGTGGTGCCACAGGGGAAGAGAACTCGTCAATTTCGAAAAGGTTCTGCTGCATTCTCTGCAGCGCAAGGTTCTGTCTGATTTGCACAGGCAAATCGTCGTGCGAGGCACGCGGGGGAGTCGACATGACCAGAAACAGAAAACAATCAACCAAGAAAAAGACACCACGGGAACAACAACCCCGCGACACCGAGACCCGTCGTGAGTCTGACCCAAAATGGCAGCCGGCCCGAGCAGAAAGCTGAAGAAAGGCTGCTGGCTTGGCCCTATGACATGCGAATTGATCAGTGCAAGCACGGATTCCTCTACAATTATGCATGTATGCATGTATGTATTTGCGAATGCGTACATGTCTGCATGCCCGTACGTATGTAATGGCCGCGTGGCTGTGTGGGTGGATGGATTGACGGATGGAGGGACATGCATGTCGGCATTCATGTCAGCATGTGTGTACAAACAATAAGTGCATGCATGCATATATATATATATATATATATATATATATATATGAATATATGCATATATACACATACAAAAGTAAGACAAGCGTCTGTGTATATACATACATACATACATACATACATACACATCGGTGTAAAGATGCGCAGTGCATATGTGTTCTTTATATTATAGACACGAAGCCCTGGAACCTCTAAACTGTAACCTGGAAAGCCTGACGCCTAAACCGACATGCTCCGACACAACCTGGGCCCGAGCCATTGTTGAACTGACGGCACCAGGGTTTCTGGCGGATCTCCCTTGCACCTGGGGAGGAACTTACACTTCGTGGCTTTGTTTCAAGCGGAAGAGTTACCAGTCGGGCCGTAAACGAACTGCGACTGACATAAAATTCAGGACCTCTGAATGTGGGTCCCACATTGTCGATCGTGAAGGTCTCCGTCGTGGAGTGCGTACGACGCCAGACCCGAAGGAGCAGCCGGGCAATGCTACGAGAGTGAGGAAACATGGTCCCCAGAGACGCCACCACCAATAACTGAGAAAGGACCCTCAAACAAGAAGCAGCCTATTCACAGATGCTGGGAGGATGCTTCGAAGAACGGATTGAAACCTCAAATGGAAAGCTCTCAATACACGGTGCGCAGGAGAGGTTTAGGGATCTTCCCTGCCCGGCCCATGTAAAGACAAAGCCTATTAAGCCCGACGCCCACCCGAAGAGTTCCGAGCCCGAAACATCCAACACGACAGCAGGGGTTGAACCCCAGACCCTAATCTTCAATCATCGAAAGGTAGGCCCCAAACCCTAAACCGTAAAAGGCTGAACCCCCAACCCGAACCTCTATGTAGGACGCTGTGGAAGGCTTAGCCGTAAACCTCCGCCCTGCTGGCCAACCCGAAAGCTTCATTCTGGAAGCTGATAGGATACCGCTCAGGAGCTCCAATCACGTAAGTGGCATGTACTTGCGGTGCGGGAGTAGAGTTGCTGAGTTGCTGCTTGCAATCGCTTGAGTGGGGAACTAGCGATCTTCTTGCCCAACGTGGGCGAGACTCCCTCCGGCCAAGCACTAAGCCCAAAGCCTGGAAAGCACGATGCTGCAGGACACCACCAGGTGAAGCAGGAGGGTGACAAAGGCCATGCTGTTCAACACCTTCAGTCAGAATAGTGTGTAGGGCTTGGAGTGCAGCACTTGCAAAGTGGTTCATCGATTCCTCCTTCTGCTAAACCCCATGTATGATAGTACAAACAAACCAGTTAACAAGAGGTGCACAGCCTCGCGAACAGCATTTAGTTCAGGATTTCGTGACTGCTTCTGAGCGCGAGTTCCACGGGACACTGCCTTAAACGGTACTAGCTGCTAGTCACAGTCGATTGAACAGTTGCGTACATAGAGGCGTCGGAGAGGATGCCTGTCGCAATGCCCAGACCCTTTATACATCAGAAAACCCCAAGACTCACGCTATCGGACAGTCAGGCTGCAACGGCTATGGCATCTCTTAGTACAGTTAGATGCAAACTATCCGGGGCTACTAGTTATCCAGACCTCTATGTGACGAATCACAAAACATCTAAATGTCAGTGCTCCGCTTACTGACGTCCGTGAGCCATCCTGTAAGGTTCAGGCTTTAGGGTTAGACCCTGATTCATAAACCAGCTGTTCTTTACGAGCCCCAACATCAGGATCCCTACGATAACCCCCGGACATATCTGTCAGGAACCTAGATACATGGATACTTCCGACAAGTACCGGAACCGGAGAGAGCAGAACAGGGCTACGGACATTCCTTAAAGCTATTTTGGGTTGTAGGGGGCACGCACCGTGCAGGGTTACATTTTGGGGTTTGCATTTTTGGGAGGCTTCGTTGTGTGTGGTCTACATGGCCCCGCCTTGTTCGAGGAAGGACCACGAGTGACCAGTGAATCGTAGCGGTCCAAGAAGGTGAATGCCAATGTCACCTTGGTGAAGAAATCAGGGTTTAGCTAGGACCCCTTGCTCGAATATGGTACCTTTATTCTTAGTAGGATCCTTATTTTTTGGACCCCAAATAAGGTACCCCGAATTTTCGCGTTAACATCCGGCCTCGTAGAGGATGAACAGCCATGCTGACCACTGCTGTGCATGGGCGAGTGTGCAGCTGCCCTGCCGTGGACGCTGGATCTTGCAAAACTTACAGGGGTTCGAACCCGATTCGGGCTACCGGGCCGGAGTGCATCTCTGTGCTTCCGTACAAGTACAGAAAGAAGAAGCCCACATCCTATGTCCTGATGCCGTAAAGCCCTCCAAGAAACAAAAGCCAAGCCCAAATAATGATGCCAACTACAACCAACACTCGGAAACCCTAAACTCGCA